CTTCAAACGCCTCAGCCAGACTGAGCACTTCAAAGCCTCGGCCAAACCGAGCACTTCAAAAGCCTCAGCCAGACTGAGCGCTTCAAAGCCTCAGCCAGACTGAGCACTTCAAAGCCTCGGCCAGACCGAGCACTTCAAACGCCTCAGCCAGACTGAGCACTTCAAAGCCTCGGCCAAACCGAGCACTCAAAGCCTCGGCCAGACCAAGCACTCCAAAAGCCTCGGCCAGACCGAGCACTTCAACAGCCTCGGCCAGACCGAGCACTCAAAGCCTCAGCCAGGCTGAGCACTTCAAAGCCAAGCAGAACCACATTTTTAACACTTAGTCACATTTTGAAGCTTCTTCACAATTCCAGGACCACGTTTTTACCTAGTTAAATTCCAAACATTCTCTCACGTATTTCATTTACTAATCAGATTAACTGTTTTGTTACACTCCGCAGGGAAGAACTTTTAACTTTCACTTTACACAATATTTTTATTGACCCAATCTTTATGACCAGTTTTTATAACAACACTTCATTCATTTTGGCAACATAAGCAAAATAAACAAAATAAACAAAATTCATCTGGCAACATAAACAAAATAACCTTTGTACACAAATTCATTACAATTAAATTCTTCATACATTCATTCATTCACTCATTCCTTTACAATGTGTTCACAAGTTCATTACAAAAAAAGAAAAAAAAGAAAAAAAAAACACACACACACACACAAACACATAGCACGCCCAGCTCTTCTTCTCCTTGGCTACTCCTCCTCGCTAGACGCCAGGTCTTCTTCGTCAATGCCTTCGTCCAGGGGGGTCTGGGCCACATCATCTTCACCTATCGTTACACTACTAAGGTCCAAGTGTGGGAACAGCTTTTCAGCTCTGCGCTTGAACATCTTCCAACCGCTGTCCCAGAACTCGGCCATTTCGTGCTTATAGAAGTCTGACTGCTGGAAGCTTTCAATCACCTCTGCCTCTGTCCTACCTCCAGCAGTCTTCCTTGATGGGCCCACCCCCCAGACTCTTGCCCAGCCAGACTCCTGGCGACAGTGGCGTCTACCGCCATCTGAAATTTGGGGGACCCTTTATATTGCTCCACTACTGCGACGCACAGATCAGGTTAGGCCGCCCTTTCAGACGCCGCCTTCGCCCTCTCCTCGTCCAGCTCTCTTTGCAGGGCCCCCCTTTCAGCAGCCGCCGCCGCCCTCTCCTCTTCCACCCCCTTCTTCAGACTCTCCAACTCCGCCACCGCTTCGCCTTCTCTATTTCCCACTCCCTCAGAAGCCTCCTCTTCTCCTCCTCTGCTTTGGCGCGCTCCTCCCCCAACTCCTTCAACAGATCTCCAATTTTGGAATCTGCTTCATCCTTTTGCCTCACCAGCTCTTCATTGCTGATCATGGCCTCTTCATGCCGCTTGACTGGCACGGCGCAGGCCCTTTCAGACTCTTCCAACTTTTTCTGTTCACCAGCCAGTTGGAACTCGAGCGACACGACCTTACGGCGTGTGTCCTCCAGCTCCAATTTGACTGCTGGCAGATCGGCATGGGCAGTCTTCCAGTCGGCGATGTCCTTCTTCAATTTGGCCAACTGGACCTTGGCCTCCTCCGCTTTTAACTTGGCAACCCCTGCCTTCCTAAGGAGGGCCCCTGCCAAGGTAGTTACCTCTATTTGGGCGGAGCATAACCCCCTCAGCAGGTCAGCCTCATTATATCCTGATGCCGCGCGCAGAGCTGTCTCCTCCACAATCTTCACCAAGCGGTCTGCCCCCGCCCTGGCTGGGCCTTCTTCTCCCTCCAACCATCCAGCTACCGCGCGAGCGTGATAGATTGCCGTGGCCAGACGGACCCCTCCTTCCTGGGCGGCAGGGCCCTTTTGGGTCTACTCCCTCCCGCTCGGCTCAGCCTCAGTCATCCCAACTCCTACTTGCACCGTTGGGGCAGTCTCTGGGACGACCTCCACCACCTCTGGGGCATCCTTGGCCACAGGGACCTCCACCTCAGTTGGGGCCACCTTAGCCCTCTTGGCCCCAAACTCATCTGCGGCTTCCTCTGGGGTACTCCTCTTCTTCTTCTTCTTTTTCAGAGCCTCCCCCTCCTTTCTGGCCTGTTCTTTTACAGGGTCTACAGGAGGTGGCCGCGGCTCAAAACTGCTTAAGTCTTTTTCCCCCAACGGCCTTGGGCGCGGTCGGATCCTCTCCCGCGCGATCGATTGAGGCGGTCGGTCCCTTTGCGCATCCTTCAACTTCGTGGCCTTGGCCAGAACGGCCCGATCCTCTACCTCCTGAGCTTTTCTCCTCGCCTCCAATTCTGCCCGGCCGAGGTCTCCGCCCTTCGGCTGCAGTCCCAGCCCCGCCTCAAACAATGCAGACGGTTGGACAAGCTCGTCCCATCTGGCCTTCTCTCTCTCTTTCCACTCCTACACTCTCTTTACCCTCTCTTCCGCCATCGCCCCCAGTCTCGACTCCATCGACCTGGTTGGCACCTTCCAGATGGTGCGCACCCCCATTCCCCCATTAACTGACACGTAGAACCACCGTGGCCGCCACCCCTTGATCGACGTAGGCAGCCCCGCCACTAATCCCCTCCCCATCATCGCCTGTAGGGTGACCCACGTTTCTTGCTGCCCCGACGCCTTGTAACACGAAAAGAACTCATCTATCGTTATGGCCTCCCCCCCATTCGCCTTAGGCCACGCACTCGCGCAGGCCAGCAGAATCTTCCTTGCATTGGGCATCAATTGCCCCGGCGCTACCTCCAGGCGATTAAGCACGTCAACCACCACTTGAGGCAGTGGCAACCTCAGCCCACCTTTTAGCGCCTCCTCGTACAGGGAAAACTCCCCTGGCCTCGCAGTAGATGGCCTTTCCCTTGATGTTGGTAGCAGTAACTCTACCTCCGCCGGAATCTGGTACCGTTCCCTGATAACCTCCAAATTCGCCGCCGTGAGTGTGGATTTGTCCGCCTTAGTGTGCCACTGATCTGGCTCTACCTGGCTTAGTGGCTTTGGAGCCAATATCAGGGCCGACGCCTGCGATTCTCCCACTGCTTCCCCCACCCCCGCCCTCACCATCCGTGTCTCCGTTTTGTATCGCGCTGCTAACTCCTTCGCATCATCATCCCCCAGCGGGTCCACCCTCACATTGACTACTTCTTCTTGCGCCATTTCTAGCGTTTGCTTCCAAATCACTTCTGACGCAGGAGCAAGGAAGTTGAGAGAATGCTACACAGGTGTGTCGTACGCAGTGAATGAATTAACACTTGGATATTTTGAGTTTTTGTAAAATGGTAGGTGAAACGCATTATACCCAACACCCACAGTTTAGCCGTATTCCATGGATCCACATTAATTCTCGTCCGTTTCAAAACCTTTCAAATCAACTGCCAAAACCGCCTTTTCAAAACCCCCCTCGTGACCTATCGTTTCATTTCTGCTCCAACGCTTCACTTCCCCCACGATATTACCACGTGTATGGCTACGATGCACTGTCCCCTCCCCTTCCCCTGTCCTTTCCATTTCAAATCATCACATGGCCCCACCCTACCCCCTCTCTTTTTGAGCCCCGCGCCGTCCTGGTCGGCACGCCTTTCGGTCGACCCCTCCCACTCGGCCACCCTCGCGGTCGGCACGCCTCTCGGTCGACCACTCCCCCTCGGCCACCCTCGCGGTCGGCACGCCTCTCGGCCGTCCTAGTTGGCACGCCTCTCGGTCGACCCCTCCCACTCAGCCACCCTCGCGGTCGGCAGGCTCTCGGTCGACCACTCCCCCTCGGCCACCCTCGCGGTCGGCACGCCTCTCGGTCGACCCCTCCCACTCGGCCACCCTCACGGTCAGCTTCTCCTGATTCAGTCACCCTAGAGATCGGCACGGCTTCCCGCAGACCTCTCCACTCGGTTCGAACTTCCCTTCCTTATCACTATTCCCTTCGTTGGACTAAAGTTGCACTCGAAAATAGGGGACTACTGACAAGGACAGGCCCACGAGGCATACAGCCCATAGCAAACCACCCCGAACCCATCGCTTAAGACCAATAACATAACTCGGTTGGCAAAGCCCAGGACAGCTGGAGGCCATCTAGACATGGGGGGCCAATGGCATTCGGGCACATGGCAGGTGGAACACGGGCCACATCAGCAGACAAAGATCTGCAGAGTTATTACCACAACACATCACCATTAATGCACCCCATCACAGCATTTATTACGACAACACCTCCCCGTCGGAACAGAGCCCCCTCACCCTGAACAAGGTAAGCTACGGCACAGGCTTTCGGCGGAAGGGGGCACGTCACAAGGGACAGTGAAATGATTACCAAATGATATAAGCAAGAATAGAAAGACAAGAGAAAGGTTAAGTTTTTTATCTCTCCATCTCCCTCTCTACATTTCCTGCTTCCCCTACTAATTCTCACGCCGGAGGATTCACTGGGGGACTGCCCCGTTCCCCTTTTGGACTTGCATGCAGGTCATTTGACGGAATCATCACCCCAAACCGGAACCTGAAGAGCCTGGACCAGCCCGACCCATCCACCCGGGACAGACAGCATCATCAGGACCTACAATTTAAATCAATCTCATCCTTGTAATGTCTTTTTGAATAAATTTTTTGATATCCTAGCACTGCTAGTAATATATTCAACTGACAGCCGGTGACTTTGTATATATATATATCTATATTTTGTGAAACTATCCCATTTTGAATGCTAACAAACATAGAAAATAATTATAGGTTTAGACACATAACGTATATGCGAATGAACACGATTTTACACAATTAATTTGTTAGTGTTCTCTTTTAAGAAATCATATTCCTTTATGCACATTATGGGTAATTTTGGAAAGATGATTATAAAGCTGCTTATAAACAATTTTTTTGTGAGAGAGGAAGTGTGTTATAATTTGGGAAGTGAATTATAACCCACTTCCCAAAAGGGGCCATGTGTACGATATCCTAAGAAAATTCTTGAGAAAATCAAATATATAGCCACTAGTATGAGTTAAAACAAACCTTTGAAATAATTGAGGAAAGCCGAGCTACTAGAATTGATGGTGGATTGGAGCATGGGGCCGATGGCAAGGGCTGGACAAACTGTGATGATTTTGACTTCTTCTTCATTTCTTCTTCCAAACTCCACTGTCTCTCTTTCTGCTGTCGTTTTGCCTAGGCAATACCACAACTAATATTTATTACCATATCCCCCCCCCCAAAAAAAAAGAAGAAAAAGAGTTTAGTGCATGTACAAAAAAAAAAACAAAAAAATTATGCATATGGACTTGCTAATTATTATTATCATTTTCTTAGACAAATTTCATTTTATTGATATTTGAAAATAAGTACATAATTTTTTATGATTTGTGGATTAAAATTCGCCGCATATACTATTAACAGCTTGAGCAAAAAGATTAAAACTAGAAGTGTGATTTTCAAAAAAAATAATAATAATGAGAAGGCCCCTACTCTCAACCATTGGGCTTGACTTAGCCTAATTAATTTGATAGATACCTCAAATTGTTTACAGAATTCAGGGTCGCTCCAACAATTTTCATCCATGGGTTGATCCTTGGGCCAATTAGGGTTCACCACAACAGCAGCAGCAGATGACACCACCACCACCTTCTTCACTTTTGCCTTCAAACATGCATTTAGCACATTTCTTGTTCCTTTTGTGGCTGATTCAACAAATTCTACCTGCCATGTTCCCCATTAATTAATTAGAAGCGATAATATAAAAACATAAAATTTATATGAAAATTTTACACAAAATGAGGTGACAGATGTGTATCTATTCATCTCAAATTAAAAAAGCTATTAAAATGATTCACAATTTTTAAAATGTCATTACCACATCACTCTTGTAGTATGTTTTGTATGGAATTGTTGTTTGCAAAATGATTTTCATTAATTAATAAAGTTAAACAATGATTAGCAGTAGCATATGTATACATATAGACAAAGGGGTAAATTGAAACTGTGAATTTAAAATCTAAGGTTAATATTGTTGAAATTAAAACAATTGGAATCAAACTAAAAATTAAGTTACAGGAATGAAAAATATAATTTACCCTTTAATTTTATAAGTCCAAACAATGGAAACAATTTGCAAAGTGTGATTTGGAGAGTGAAAAAATTAAATAAATAAATAATAATTATAATAAGCTTACCTCAGGATTAGGAATAGGAATGTGTTCAAAGGGAGTTGGAGAAGCAAGATGGATAACACCAGTGCAGCCAACAATGGCAGAACAGAGACCTTCATACTCCAACATGTCTGTCTTAAATAGCTTCAGATTTTCTGTTGCATTTTCCAATTTCTTCAAATGTCCATTCTTTTCTTCGTTACCTGAAAAAAATAAAAATAAAAATAAATTAAAGAGTGTTTTTATTTATTTATTTATTCCATCAAATTAGTTTTAAATTTTTTCAACAAAAAAAAAAATCAGAAAACCTATTTTAAGATCGAAACCAAACAGAGTGAATAAGACGCGCTTCTTGAATCCATTTTGATTAATAATTTCTTCAATTAGTTGCTTGAATTGAACTAAACAAATTAATGGAAAGATTCTGGTAAACTATTAAAACAAAATTAATATGAGCAATATATATAGCATCACACACGTATGGAAAATTTTATGGGACACAACTATTAGATAATTTATAGTGAATTTCACTACAAGGTTTTGTGGTAATTGATTATGAAACTTTTGATGCTTTTGGTTATGATTCAAATTAATTTTATGAGATTATTTCATTTTTGTGGCGTTTTGATTTTTTATGAAATTTTGTAGTGTTTTTGTTATAAACTATTTAATTTTGTTCTGATTTAAATAAATGAAAACTATTAATCATTGTGAGTTAAAATTTTAGATCCATTACCATATGTATTTTTTAAGAAAGTGTATATTAACAATCCCCAGTCCTCCATATGTAGGGCTGCAAATGAGCCAAGTCAAGTCGAGCTCGATAAGAAGCTTGAGTTCGAGCTCGGCTCGGCTCGATAAGAATTTTTTAATATTATTTATATATTATTTAATATATAAATAATATATTAATATATAATTCAAATAAAAATAAATGAGCCGAGCCGAGTATATTCATGAATAATTCGATTCATTTGCAGCTATAGAAGGAGAAGAAAAAATATTTAAATAAATATGCAAATAAAAAATATATTGTAAATGAAATCACAATTTACTATTGTAAAGAAATGATCATTTCATAATAAAGACTATGAAATGATTATTCTATTTTATTCTATCTCATTATTATTTCTTTGAACAAATATATATATATATATATATATATGTATATATTGGCAGTGATGCAAAAACTATTCATTTATAATTTTAAAGTTATATTTGAAGATAGTTTGATGATTGAGAAAAATTAATTAACAATTTTAAACAGGTTGATAAAAGAAAAAAATTATTTTAATAGTTATTAAATGTGACAATTACTGAGTGAGAATGGCATTGGTGAAAACAAAAATGTTAAAACTGAGTGAGAATGGTATTGGTGAAAACAAAAATGTAGCAACGTTAACAGCAACTTAGCTGTGCGTTATATAAACAGTTAATTTTGTAGTCTCATAAATGTAAAAATCATCTATTCAAAAAAATTATATTGACCCAATATTTTTTGTATTCACTCCATTAAATAACACTTATTTTCAAAAATATTAACGACAAATAAATATGATTAAATTAAGTGAGTTATAATTATTAGATCAATATAATTTTTTTTTAAAATTATAAAATTAACAGTATAAATTATTAAAATATAACTCGTGATAGATCTACAAAGCTCCGAACTCAACATAAGCTGAGTTCTTAAAGTAAACGAGAACCAGAATTTAGAAAAACATACATACTCATCAGCTATTCACATAATTGAATCTAAAAGTGAGCATTTATATAATTTTTCTTATATCTGTGAAGAAAAAAAAAAGTAAAATAATAACAAGGAGAGAGAGAGAGAGAGAGAGAGAGAGAGAGACGAACAGGGATCTCGAACAGTTCCATGAACAAAGTAACCCTTTGAAAGAAGGAATTTCACCACCCAGGATGCCACGTACGCTCCTGCTCCTGTTACGCACACCCTCTCTTTCTCCTCCGTCATCTCTCTCTCTCTCTCTCTCTCTCTCTCTCTCTCTCTAACTAGTTTGTTTGATTAAAGGTGCTTGTGAAATTGTGATGCCTTTGCTATAGTCCTTCCTCAGATTCCTACTTGTTGGCTTGGTTTATTTATTTTTGTTTTTTTGGGTGCTGGTTTGAATTGTTTATTATTCTTTCTTAATATTTTATTTTTTATTAATTAATTTTAATTTATTACGAGGCAATTAAATTTTTTTTACTTCTATTTTTATTTTTAAATTTTTTAATCGTGTAAGAAATATTAACCTATATTATTTTAAATATACATCGACTAAAAGTTTAATGAATCAAAAATAAAAATAATAATTTGATAATAATATATGATTGACAAAAGATAGATAATAATTTTTTTACATATGAATAAATAAATAATGCAAATTGTCAAGAAAGAAATAAATCTATTTATTTTAACTTTCAAAAATATTCAAATAATAAATGCATTACTTAAAATAAAAATAATAAATTGTAGGTTATTTAAGTAGTATGAAATAAGTCTTATATTAAATTATTAAGATGTTATCTAACATTAATTTTAGAAATATTATTTATTTTTAAATATTTTATCAATAGAAATTAAGTTTTTTTTTCTTTTGCATTAAATGATTTAATAATGTCTTAATAATTTAAAGATTTTATTTAGTATTGCATAAAATTTGATAATTTTATTAAATAATGGTAAAATATGTATATATTTTTGATAATATATATATATATATACAAATTTTCAGGAGAGATAAATGAAATTTCTCATTTAAATAGATAAAGTAATTAATGGCAATTTTGTCATTTTTGGTATAACATCAGCATGACATCAACAAATTTTGTTAAATAGCTTAACAGTAGAAAAATCTTGATAATAGTTTCAAAAGTAAAGGAGATTAGTATAATTATTAAAACTACAGGAGTGATCCCCGTAATTGTCAGAAATCTCAAGGGAGGTAAGTGTAATTTACCTTAGTTAATTTGATAGTTGTGAGAAAAAAAAAATGATATGATTTAGATGTGATATTTTATCTTATTAACTATTTTAATCTATTTTATTTTTATTTGGCCTCATTTGGAGTGTGGGTTAAAAGTTACTTTATAACTTTTAATCCATTTTAAGTCACATCAACTATCACGTTGTTTATACTTAAAAAAAAATAAAAATAAAAAAACTAACTGTTGATTATTTTTCCAAAACATCCCAAGCTAAAAAAAAAAACAAGAAGGCCTCTATCCTTTGGTAGGAAGTCTCACTCTGACCCGTAACAGGAATTCAAAGGCAGCTTGTTTTAGGTCATAAACTAATCATGAATTAATATATGTGACAAATTGTGTGATTATTAATTTAATTGTTTGTGACAAATGAAATGAAAGCGAGATCTAGCTATAGCTATTTTATTATTTTACTATTAATTTTACACATACAACTTGACCATTATTTTACACTAACCTTACTATAAAAATATAATTTTATTCGAAAATTTTGTAATGTCAATTATAAAAGAAATAATTTCGTCACAAATTAATATAACAAAATATTTAAAATTTTGTAATTAACGTTATAAAAATTTATACTTGATTATGACATTTTTTGCTGCACTAATTTGTAACGAAATTATATTTTTTTTCTTAATATTACAAAATTTTGTGATAAAATTATACATGATATACCCCAGAGTATTTCTTTACTTTTACACATGCAACTTGGCATTAGGAGTGTTTGCAGTTCGGTTGCGGCCGGGAAACTTTTAATCCGCCATCCATCTGCCGGATTGGCAAATTAGAAAAAATCAATCCGCATTCATCGGCCGGATTGACGGATGCGGATTGAGCAGATGAACAAATTAGCGGATGGATGCGAATCGGTTTAGTGGTTTAAATTTTTACAAATTTTGAACGTATACAACAATTTGTCAAAAAAAAAAATTTAAATAGCAATCCAACTCAACATAATTAAAAGATTATTAAGTAAATTGTCAAATACCAATAATAAATACATATAAGAAAACTATGTATTATCAAAACTATTTCATTATTTTTTTTTATTCAAAAATTATTTAATTTGATTTTTTTAAAAAATGACAAAATTAAGCCTTAAATATCAACACTTGTCATTTGATAAAAGGATTTCTAAATTGAAAATATAACGGAATTTTTAAACTATTTTTTAATTAAAAACACAAACAGAATATCTAAACAAATTGAAAACACAAAATCTTATAAATTACTAGGGGTGCTCACAGTTTGACGGTTCAGGTGCGGCCAAAGGAACCTCAAATCCGATATTCGTTCAAAGCTAGGTGGATTAAAAAAAATCATTCCGCAACCGTCCACTCATCATCAATATCTGTTCAAAATGTGACAAATCGATTCGATTCAGTCCATTTGAACGGATCGAAAGATCCCCTGCTCACCCTTACTAGGCATTATTTGATACATCAACAATGATAGAGACCACTAATTTTGGAGCTCTAAAAAGATCACTAATGACATGATACTAAATAAAAAAAAAAATACAACACCAAGGACAAAACATCAAATCATTCATGGTGGGGCCCACTGCCACATCATTAATGGTAACACTAATTAGTGCTTTCACTTATTTTTCTTGATACATTTTGATTATTTGATACATTCTTTAAAAAATTATTTAAAAAATTATATAGAAAATTGGACTAATGAGTTTTCACAGTACATATACTTTTCAAGAGATCATATTAGTTTGCATCATATCCACAACCACAATGCATCATATCCACAACCACAATGCATCTATTTAACTAATTATTATTATTATTATTATTATTTTATAGCACACACTACAAAGGTAGTGTTTAGTTTAATTTTTAAATTAATACTTAGATTAAGAAATCACAAAAATATGTTTGGTTAAAAAAAATTTAAAGAGTAAATTACATTTTATCTTCCTAAAATTTCACCCATTTTTTACTTTGTCCCTTTAAGTTTGATTTTTTCTACTTTGGCCCTTCATGTTTGTAATTTTTCCAACTTTGACTTTTTAAGTTTGATTTTTCTCACTTTAACCCTTCATATTTGTAATATTTCTCAATTTACTCTTAAACTAACCTCCATTCAAAAAATGACAGAATCTGCCACATCACCAATACACCAGCTCTATGTGTAATATAAAAAATTCACTAAAGATGCAAAAAATGAAAGATAGAAAACAAAAAAATTGAAATTTTCTTTTAGTCTTTAGTGTTTTTTCAAATTTATTCATAAATTTTATTACATTATAGACGCATCTAGCTTAGATGCACCTAAAAAAATAAAAAAAAATTTAACTTAAAAAAAAAATTCACTAAAGACATAAAAAAAAAAGAAAAAAAGAAGAAGACGATAGTAAACTTTTTATTTCAGAATTGATAATACAGGTGTTTGAATCAGTATATTTTTATTTTTTTCGTCTTTAGTAAACTTTTTTCTTTTTTAAGTTAAATTTGTTTTTATTTTGACCAAAAAAATTCACTAAAGACTAAAATTTTTTATTTTTTATTTTTTTTTTCATCTTTAGTGAATTTTTTATATTACACATGGAGCTAATGTGTTGGTGATGTGACAGATTCTATTAATTTTTGGATGAAAGTTCGTCTAAAAGTACAGTGAGAATGATTGTAAACATGAAAGGCCAAAATGAGAAAATTTAAATTTAAATGGCCAAAGTAGGAAATGCGTAAAACTTTAAAGGTGCAAAGTGTAATTTATCGAATTTGCAAAATTATTTTTTCTCTCTCCACTTTCATTCTCTTTTTTTTATTATTATTATTATTAATAAATTAATCAATCAATCACTTTTTCTCTCCTATCTCATTTTTTACATTCTACACATTAATCAATCAAATTTTCTCTCACATCCATCTGTTTAACTACAAAAAAAATTAAAAAATGAAAATAAAATTACAAATCATCTCAAAATTATTTTCAAAACTCATAATGAAGAGAAGTTATTGGTTGGTTTTGGGGCACTGCCACGTGGTACCCCAATGGTATTGTGATTAGTGGAGGGAGTGGGGCCCACGAATTTGTATTGTTGGGTGATTGGAGAATATGAGAAGCATGGTGAATTGTGATCGGGGTGGGTCAGAGTCACATGCCCGCATGACCAACCAATAATTTTTTAATAACCAAACAAATTTTTTATTTTCAAAACTCTTTTCAACAACTTATCTTTTAAAATACAATTCAAAACTAAAAATTCTTTTCAAAAACTAAACCAAACAGAGCCTAAGATTTTATAGACCAAAATTTAGAGATAAAATCATTTTTTAGGGACAAAATATTTTTGTCACCAAAAGTATTATTATTTTATTTTTAGTGACAAAATTAGACATTTAGTAATGAATTACTAAGCTTTTGGGATCAAAAGTTATCTCAAAAAATAATTTTTTTGGGGATCAAGTTAGTTTGTCCCCAAAAAGGCATTTATTTGTGACATTTTCAAAATTGTATTCCTAAAAACTCTTTTTTTTTTTTTTTTTAAAGTTTTTTGGTTTTTTTTTTTTTTTTTCAGAATCACTTTTTAGTGACTGTTCTCGCAATATTTTTTACAACAAAATTTACACTTTTAAAAATAAAAAAAATTAAGTTCCAAAACTTCTATTTATTGTAGTTACATATGAAAAACATTATTTAAGGTTGTTGGTGCATTGCCCAAACTCTCCCAAATCACAAGCAGGGTTGACTCGGTGGTTCGGTTTGATAATTTTTTTTGTTTTTTAACAGTTTTTTAAAGCTGTTTTTTATTTATTTTTAGTGAATTATTATTTTAATTTTTTTGTAAAAAAATACTTTTAAATTGTACTAGCACTACATTAGATTTGACGAACTTAAAAAGTGAAAAAATGCCTATAATAAAAATAATTGTATTTGGTTTTAATTTTTTGAAAATTGAGTTTTTTATTTTTTGTGTTTTTTTATTTTAGTGAATATTTTTAAAATTTTAATATTTTTTTAAGTTTTTAGATGTACTTTATTTATATGTATCTAAAAAATAAAATATTTGTAAAAATTTAATAAATACACAAGAATACAAAAAATATATTG